ATATATATATATATATATATATATATATATATATATATATATATATATATATGTATATAGATAGATAGATAGATAGATAGATAGATAGATAGATAGATAGATAGATAGATAGATAGATAGATAGATAGATAGATAAGATAGATAATATATATATATATATATGTATATATATAATAAATATATATATATATATATATATATATATATATATATATATATATATATATGAGAGAGAGAGAGAGAGAGAGAGAGAGAGAGAGAGAGAGACAGACAGACAGACAGACAAAGAACAAAAGAAAGATGGAAAGAGAAAGAGAGAGAGAGAGAGAGAGAGAGAGAGAGAGAGAGAGAGAGAGAGAGAGAGAGAGAGAGAGAGAGAGAGAGAGAGAGAAAAGAGAGAGAGAGAGAGAGAGAGAGAGAGAGAGAGAGAGAGAGAGAGAAGAGAGAGAGAGAGAGAGAGAGAGAGAGAGAGAGAGAGAGAGAGAGAGAGAGAGAGAGACAAAAGAAAGATGGGGGAGAGAAAGACAGGCACAGAAAGACAAAAACACATACAAACAGACAAGCAAACATAGACATATTATCGTTCTGATAACCATCACTATCATTTTCACAGTAACAACCTGAACAACGATGATACTTTATTACGATAATTACCAATACGATCATCATTCTTAGAACCCAATCACCATAACTACATCATTACACAACCGTTCCCATTATTTCCCTATCTTCAGTGCCATTACCATGAGCGACAGGCCACGTTCAGTAGTCATTCGAGCATTAGTACTCAGGTGATTATTGTGCCTCTACTGTACTGTTCCTTTGTAGTATGTCTACTGAAGGGATTTTAGTGTTAATTATGTCTCTGATCAAGGATTGATGGCTGTTGCGTGATTGGTTGCAGTTGTCTACGTGTCTGTGTTTGTTTGTTTTTGTTATTCTTTTTGGTTCTTCTTTTTTGTCCTTCCGTCTTTCTCTCTTCTCTGGCTTCTCTCTCTCTCTCTCTCTCTCTCTCTCTCTCTCTCTCTCTCTCTCTCTCTCTCTCTCTCTCTCTCTCTCTCTTCTCTCTCTCTCTCTCTCTCTCCCCCCCTCCCCCTCCCTCCTTTCTCCTCTCTCTTATTCTCTCTCTCTCCTTTTCTTCTCTCCCTTTCTTCTTCGCTTCTCCCCTCCTCTCCTCTCCTTCTCTTCTCTCCTCTACTTCTCTCCCTTTTCATCTTCTCCCTCTCTTCTCTCCTTTCTCTCTCTCTTTCTCCTCCTTTCTCCCTACTCTTCTCGCCTCCTTCCCTCCTTCCCTTCTCGCTTCCTTCCCTCCCTCCCTCTATCGGAATAGCGTATAATGTCATTTTAACATCATCACCGCTTAGCCATTGCACCGAAACAATGACCCATTAATTCCAGGATATGGGAAAACCTGCTATATCTCCCTAAGATTTAAGGGCCATTATACCTCGCGGTTGTAATGAAACGGAGATTACAGCTATGCAGGAAACCTAACAATGAAATAATTGGGTAAACAGCCTCGCGCTAAACTTAGATTTACGCGGGGATTAATCAAAATCCTTGGATATGAAGACTGTTGTATTGTTACGTGGGATCTTTTAACATTTATTCATGTATTTATAGGTTATTCGTCTACCTACTTATTTGTTTGTTTGGGCATTACTCCAGTGTGAGGCGCCCAGGTCTCCGTTCTCTGCCTTCCCTCACTTCTTTTTTCCTTCCTATTCCTTAACTCCCTTTCATTCCCTTTCCCACTTCCTTTCCCCCTCCTAGCTTCTGTGTCTCTTTCTTTCCCTTTCCTAACGTGTATGTCTCTTCCATCCTCTCTCCTAACTTCTGTGTCTCTTCTTTTCACTCTTTTTCTCCATAGCCTAGCCTGGCCTATCATCCATTATTTTCCGTGTTACGTCGGCTGTTCCTTTCTCTCATTTCCCTATTCTATGCTGTCTTCTTACTCTTTTTTCTCTATAGTAACTTTCCTATTCTATATCTTTGGCTTATACTATAAGCCTCCATGCCTATCTACTATTTTTTTATCTATTTAATTCTTTACCCTTTACTTTGCCCTAAGCCTCATTCCTGTTCTTTTTACCTTAGCGTAGCCCTACCTTATCCTATACCCTGCCCTATCCTGGCCTAAGGAAAAGTATGAAGATTCTGGAGGATATAGAGCATACGGATCGGTTGCCAGTCCTCATCGCTTATGCCTTGCCCTTTTGGCGTTTTTCGTTGTATACTGGGCAGTTATTATATTGAATTAGCCTTTTTAAAGTAATTATTTTATTTATGTATTCTTAATTAATGTTTCTTTTCAATTCTTATTGCCTGGCCTTTTAGAAATTATTATTTTTTGATTTACCAAAGGGCCGCCTTTTTATTTGTTCTTTTTTTATCTAATTTACTTTAATTACGCCCTTTTATTTTTTATTTTTTATCTAATTTTCGTTTTTACCTTTTTTGCATCTTAGTTTGTTTGACTGCTAAACGTGTGTGGAAAATGTGCGTATTTCAAGACAGTTATATGCAAGTCATATGTAAATGCAGCATACAGTGACTAAAATTATAAGATATACTAAGTAGTACCAACGTCATATATACCTACGTTGTAAAATAATGATAAAAAAAAATAATAATTAGATAATATAAAATGAAATAAAGATATGCATTCACCAAAAAATATGTTCCGATGTACGAAGGAAAAAAATGCATTCGCGAAAAAGAGAAATGCCAAAAAATGTGTTGCTCGAATTGAGTGATAAATTCTGAGGGAAAATGGGTTCGGCATTGACAGTTTTATCTATAGATGTTACTGCAGGTGCAAAGGGAAAAATTATTTTTTGGTTACCTTTCTCTATTCTTTTTTCTCTTTTTTGACATTGTTAAGCTCTGCCTTTATTCTTTCATATTTTTTCACAAATGCATATAAACAAATACACGCAAATACGCATGCACACACACATGTATATATAAGCAAACAAACAAACAAACAAACAAGCAAACAAACGTACAAACACACACACTTGTATATGCTGCCACACACAGGCGCAAAAAATTACATTCTAACACCCACCATACAACAATATTCATGCATAATCCGCTACAAAGTCACCAGGATAAAGTCACTTTCACGTACGCATCAACACCTGATACAATTAATGCATAAAATCCGCATTAATGCATAACGCAAAAAAATATTCAGTTGTCAGTAGCACATTGATATATATATCATTCATTTGGACTAGGGGTGCGGGCGGAAATGACTGAATGTATCATTGGACCACGAATAAACACACTGTAAATGGCTATCTCATTTTCATTTTCATTTTCATTTTCTCTAGAGACCGGATGATGGATCTGCTACGTACGGGCCTAATGGACTCGCCAATGCGCGTAGGTACGTGTGTGTTTGTGTGTATGTTTGCGTGTTTGAGAGAGAGAGTAGGGGGGAGGGAGGTCGAGAGAGAGAGAGAGAGAGAGAGAGAGAGAGAGAGAGAGAGTGAGAGAGTGAGAGAGAGAGAGAGAGAGAGAGAGAGAGAGAGAGGAGAGAGAGAGAGAGAGAGAGAGAGAGAGAGAGAGAGAGAGAGAGAGAGAGAGAGAGAGAGAGAGAGAGAGAGAGAGAGAGAGAGAGAGAGAGAGAGAGAAGAGAGAGAGAGAGAGAGAGAGAGAGAGAGAGAGAGAGAGAGAGAGGAAGAGAGAGAGAGGAGAGAGAGAGAGAGAGAGAGAGAGAGAGAGAGAGAGAGAGAGAGAGAGAGAGAGAGAGAGAGAGAGAGAGAGAGAGAGAGAGAGAGAGAGAGAGAGAGAGAGAGAGAGAGAGAGAGAGAGAGAGAGAGAGAGAGAGAGAGAGAGAGAGAAGAGAGAGAGAGAGAGGAGAAGAGAGAGAGAGAGAGAGAGAGAGAGAGAGAGAGCAAAAGAGTGAGCAATTCCTCAAATGAATGAAACATTGACGAACGTTAACCTGTTGCCAGTGTCTTGACAGTCAGTCCATCACTCAAGTCGAATCATTTTGCGTGCGAGTGTGTGTTTGTATGTTTGTTCATCAAATAGTGCAGCTATCAGTACAGAATCAAATGCCCTTTTATAATTAATGAATATCATGAACGAAGCTCTCCAAAAATCATTTTGTTTCACACAGGCTTGTGAAATGTAAATGTGACATTTTTTCTGAATCTGCAGCGAAAGCCTAAGTGCTGTGAAATAGAACTTAATAATGCTTTTTCTTCTTCTTTTTTAGATAGTTAACAGCAGAGCTCCAGATCGACAAGTCATCAGATCCTTCACATTCCTCTGTTTTAGTAATTAGAATCATTAATGTTTTTTCCCCAGGCTTTTGGAGTTTCATCTACCGTGCGACGTTTGGTTTAGAAAATTGGTTAGTTTTATTACCGCAGTTTCGCAAAGTCCATATCAATAATTTCCTCTTTTGGCGTTTTCCTTTTTTCATATCTGTAGGTATTCAATTATGTTATCATTATTATAATCATTATCATTATAATTACTGTTACCATCATTATCATCGTAATTATTATTAATGTTATTATTATTATCATCATTATTATTATTATCATTATTACTATTATTATCATTATCACTATCATTATCATTATTATTATCATTATTATTATTATTATTGTTATTATTGTTATCATTATTATCATTAGTATTATTATTATAATCATTATTATCATATCATTATCATTAGTATTATTATCATAATCATGATTATCATTAGTATTATTAATCATTATTATCATATCATTATTATCACTATTATTGTCGTTATTATAATTAGTATTATTTACTAGCAGTAGTAGTAGTAGTAGTAGTAGTAGTAGTGCTGCTGCTACTACTACTATTAACATTATTATCCTTGTTATTCCTATAGTGTCTACTA